AAGTGAAACTAATTTTCTCTTCTGAGATAGAGTTTCCTTATGAAACCCAGGCTGGCCACTAAATACACAATCCCCACTGTGCTTACATTGTAGGAATGGGTTACCCCTGAGGGGAGAAGTTTTAGCTCTACCTGCCTCACATCAGAAAAAGACCAGATGCCATTCAGTGAAGTAATAAACCAACAAATACTATTCAGGAATAAAAAGAATTGCAACAATTTGGATGGAATTTAAAGGAGCTATATTGAATGAAAAATCCAATTCCAGATTATATACTATATGATGGCCTCCATTTTGAGTGTAATATTACATAGAAAGAACATTTCTACAAAAGAACAGGAGAGCTCCTTGTACTGGTAGTGTTACTCTATACCTTGACTGCCTTCATGCCATTATCCTCATTATGATATTGCATCACAGTTTTGAAAAATGTCACCATTGAACAAACCTTGGGAAAGAATTTACCATGTCATTGTATGCTATTTCTCTTTGCCATTTATAATTTTGTAATTAATTCAGAATTACCTTTTGAATGAAAAGCATAGATCCACAATATGCCACCATTTGTGGCACTGGAATGCTTCTATGTGTGCTGGCCAGCTCTATATAGGAAACTTCTAATTGCACAAAATTCTCTGAAGTGATGAATTAAAAATAGGAGGTCGGGAATACATGAAAATCTGTATTCTTTTAGAACGTATGTTTATTTCTCTAAGTGGTAATGATAGAAAAAAACTGTGATTCTCTTTCATTCATTTTATAAAATCAGTAATAAAAATAAGGGAAAATTGAATAAAAATGCTATATATGGTTCAAGCAACTATGTAGTATTTTTCTTTCAAAAGGAGAAGGAAACTTTTGTTCATTATAGTAACAGTAATCATAGATATTTCTGTAACTTACAATACTTCCCTGCACATATTTAGGTATAAATGTGAATTAGCTGTGCATAAGGTTTGTTAAACTATATCATTGGTAAGTTAATACCATACACTTATGAGAAAAATTGAAAGCTTATCTTTAGAAGCTTATGCTTTGAAAAGTCTAAAATTCTTTGCTAGTGGATTATTCTAATCATGACAGTTTGTGACCTGCCTGATATCCAAATGTCAGAGACTCAACTAACAACCCTTAGGTCTGAACTCATCAACAGCAAGCCATGTTGTTTTAAATGCTTCCTTATAAAGATTTTTAGTACCTTTCTCCAAATTGGAAAAGGAAGCCATGACATCATGAGCTGCAAATCAATTGCATGCTTGAATTTTAGTGGCAAGAGTTACTATTTCCTCACTTTGTCACTTTCTCTTGAATGATGCTTGACACGCATTAAACTTTAAGCCTTTTGCCTTTCAGTTTCACCTTCCATTAAAATGTAGACATATGAACAGATGGCAAATGCCATCATTTTGGAAAATTGTCAACTTTTCATTCATTCTTACAGCTCTAAATTCAGGGGTCATTTTATTGAAATTTCTCAAAGGACTGGATCAGAGGTTATATTTGAACATATAAAGGAATGGCAGGTCAGTGCTTTTGAAATTCAGATTACTAATGTGACACATTATTTTATCGTCAACAACAAATGATGAAAATGAGTATTTCAATGCAATTTGACATGACTAATTTCAGGTGAATGATGACCCTGCATTTATGTGTTTTATATAGTCACCTGCATTTTTTACATGACAGATAGAGAATATGAAATTAAGTGATAGTCCAACATGAGCAGGTGGTTTAAATAGTCCTCCTTACCTATATTAATGTGGCAATCATTTATCAATACCCACAGAAAACCTCTATTTCTGATAAAAGTAATTTCTAATTGTAAAAGTTTCATTAGAATCTAAGAGAAGGAGCTTTGCCCAAGAAAGGTACATTTGTTCTTTCAGAAAGTTATTAGATACCTTTCTCAGTTGCAACATTCATTCACCTATATTTCTTTAACTTCTAATACATGTTTTTGTGTTTTGATTCTTTTATGTGAAACTCTTTTGTGATTTTAAGGTATTTTATCAAACTAACATGTCTGTGGCCATGGTTCAGCATAAGCTACATTACATTGCAAAGGTGATTCTTAGTACACAGTAGTGATTAGTGTTGTTGGAGTTATCTCCAGTCCTGCCTGGACCCACAGCCACTCAGACCAAAATAAATACAAAGACGATTATGTTAATTAAAACTGTTTGGCTGAATGACTCAGGCTTCTTGGTATCCAGTTCTTGTATCTTAAAATAACCCATTTCTATTAATCTATATTTCGCTGCTCTCCTTTTGTTTCCACAGGAAACAAGAGGCTATGGATTTGTTCCAGATTAAGATACATCAGGACCAGCCAAGACCCCCTGAAAGGTCTCCAATGACATCATGGCCCAGATTATCCGACATCCAGAATGGTTTCAAGGCAACTGGCTCAGACAATACAGACTCATGGACTACTTCATAATCCTAAAATTTTCTTTATATCCCCATAAGAATACAGCGCCCTCATCCAGCAGGAAGTAGTATGAGAATCTACACCCAAACTCCCAAAATATTGTTTATAAATGTTTATTTTTATTTAAAGAGGGTTGATTATAAATACAACCCTCTTTCTAAAAAAATGGTGTATAGGATATAGATATGATAGGACAAAAGGGTAGATTAATGAACCTACTTTTAAAGAGCAACAACTTGTTTACAAATGTTTTACATTGTTATGGATTTAGTTTATTGATACAAGTTTAAACTTAAATTTGTTATACTGTATATATATTCCTACTCCATTGGAGGTATTATGTTTATGTAACTCATTTTGATTTTAATGTATAGTTAAGAAATACAGATTAATAGTCTTCTATGATAATCAAACTTATAGTCATGTTGTTTTCTAAGTATACATAGATATAATTCAATTAGGTAGGTAATCTTCAAACACTTCAAAGACCTACAGAATATTGCATTTAAAATGTTTTAAAAATTTAGACTTTCTGGACAGTGAGACATGTCACTGGCAGTACCAGATTTACTTCAGAGAGGAGGATGGGCATTGAAGACACTCTATATGGAGTTTATCTTCTTCTTGGAAAAAATAGCTATTTGGGCAAGAAATTGTTCTTGCCTGCACTGCTTGAAAAAAAATATATCAACTGGACATGCAGGACCCATGGGAAGGTGACCACTGAACTTTGGTTGGCAAAAATGGTCTTTCAGGTTCCTGCTTCATAGAAAAAACTGCCAGACATTCTATAGGACACAGAAAAAGTGACTGAGAGACTCTAGGCCTGTGGGCTGAAGACAGATGCCCCAACTTTACAGAGGAACTTTGGATGACTGTCCACGCTGCCATCTGTCACCATCTGCTCTTGCAAGACTCCTGAAAGTTGCTTGCATCTTTCTCCCATTACTCAGGTAATGTTATATCCTTCTGAGGTCTTTAATGTAGTTGAGGACTAGAAAAATTTCTTAGTTATGATAAAAGATAAGTTACATATGAAACCTTAAACTCACAAATATATGATAGATAGGATATCTTCTTTAATTTTGCCAAATACAAAAAGACAAGATCTTTTAAATAGACTAGATATTGTAACTGTAATTCTTGCTTGATATTTTTTTTGTTATATATAATTTTACTGTTATCGTTAAACCCAGTCTTTTTGATTAGACAGAAAAGGGGAGATGCTGTGGGATGTTCTGTATGTTGTGAATGTATTGCTCTGACTGGTTGATAAATAAAACACTGATTGGCCAGTAGCCATTCTGAAAGTATAGGTGGGACAAGGAAACAAGGAGAATTCTGGAAAGAGGAAGGCTGAGTCAGGAAACGCCATTCTGCCGTCCAGGGAACAGTATGTAACGGCACACAGGTAAAGCCATGGAAAATGTGGCAACATAGAGATTAATATAAATGGGCTGAGTTTAAGTGTAAGAGTTAGTCAGTAGTAGTCTTGAGCTAATGGCCAAACAGTTTTAATTAATATAAGCTTCTGAGTGATTATTTTATAAGCAGCTGTGGGGTCCGTGGGGCTGGGCAAGACCAGAGAAAACTTCAGCAACAGATTAGTGCTAATCAGAATTTCAGAAGTAGAAGCTGAATTTTAATTAGAGGAAAAAATTAGGTAATTTTGAGACTTTGTCAAATTTCAGAGTTGACTTCTTTAAAGTTATCATTATATAGCAAAACACTGAAATTCAGAAAAGTCAGTAAATGGATTTAAACACACCTTCCTTCCTTATAATCAACTTTGTAATGGTATCCACTATCATTCACGTAGAGTGTGATTCACAGTCCATGAAGGGCTAAATATGCTTAAACTGAGATTTTTTTAACTGTTAATGTGTTAAATAAATATTGTTTTGATGCATTATTATTAAGTAAACTACATATCCTTTATTCTAGGCTGAAAAATATGTATAAATATGCAATTTATTTATTTAAGGATAATATCAAACACTTGTTACTAACTTTGCTCATTGCCCATGGAGACTCAGGATTTCTGTAATTGACTGGTAATTGTCATTAACAAAAGGTTCTATAACAGAACCTTTATATTCCCTAATATGGCAAGATTATTGTTCTTTCTGTGTGTACACAGGCACCACACACACACACACACACACACACCACTATTATCTAAACCATTTTTTGCAGATGTGCATAAACCGGAGATGTCACTGCTCTGTCTGTCTGTGAAGGGTAATAACAAAATGTTACAGCCCATTTAGCAATAAACTATGCATCTTTTCTGCAAGACTTTGCTTACAATTTATTTGCAACATTTTACCTCCTCTATAAATTTTATTTCATAGTCTTTAGTAATTTCTGGCAACAGAAGTAGATACCCAGATGGTATCTCTTTTCTCCATAAGCTTGAAATAATGTCTCAATATAAATTCCAATCCCATCTTTTTATGATTTAGATTCTAAATTTTAGTACATGGCAACACATGCAAATATTGAGACAATATGTACAGTTGAAAGTGACAGCAGGAAGCTTTAAGTATTAGAAAACACTATGTAGTTTCATAGAGTGAATAATAATTTCATTAAAAGATACCTGATGACACAGGCATAAAGCCCACTGTCTTGTAGTAGTGTTGGTCTGAACCAAATGGAGTCTTCTTCTTTGCTCATTCTACTTCCATCAAAGGCAATGGGCTCTTCAAAATCTCCCGGACCAGAGCTTTTATACCACATTAAGCTGAGTCCAGCACTTTGGGCAAGGGAGTAGTTTGTTCTGATATAACCGTAAAAGAGTGCACACTTGATTCTAACAGGCTCTCCCACCAAAACTTGGTATTTCTTGATATCAACAGACCAATCAGTGCATCCATCAGCTGCAGCAATAAAGAGAGAAGGAAAGAGAAGAAAAACATTAGAGAAAAGAATTAGCAACACATTTTTCATTTGTTCATTCACTTAAATGTTTACAGAGCATATACATTGAGTCAGATTTATTCTAGACACAGAGAATATACAGTGATGAGTAACATTGAGAATTGTCCGTTAAAAGTAGTTTACTCTGCTGGCAAACAGTGCATTGTTTACTTGCTCCTTCCAATGTTTAGTTTTAGTTTGTATCACTAAGCTCATTACTTATTTATTGTTACTCAATTATAAATATACCGTTTAGCATGCTCTGTAAAAATAATTCTGGGCCTTTAAAATATTTTCCTTTGTTCTGCAGCATTGAAGCTTTGTCAGTAGAGGGGGCTGGAGGGACGTTGCTGTTCTGGCATTACTTGGCAGGTTTTTGTGAGACACCTTTTGATGACTGTTTCCCCCAAGAACTTTAGAAAGAATGTGTTAGTCAACCTTAGGGGCAGTTGTATCACCATCAAGCTCTACTAATGCAGAAACTCTGTGACTTCTAACATTCAGTTAAGCAAGGCAATAACTTTACGATACTGCTCACATCTCTGCTCTGGAGATAGACAACTAACGGGATCCATTATTGCAAGTTCAATTTTGTTGACTTGGACAATGAAAACCAATCTTCTATCAATTAAAACCCTCTTTTGCTGTGAACTGAAGGTTTGTACAGCCCCCCCAACCTCCCCTGCACACATCAGAGAAGAAACAACACAATATGCTGGTGTTTGGAGAGGGGACCAGGTATGGGTATTTGGAATTACATGAGGTCAGAAGGCAGTGGCTCCTTCAGATAGGATTAGTGCCCTTAGATGTAGAGACATGAAAGCTTGTTTTTTCTTCCACTGGGGCTCACAAAGAGATCATTGTGTAAGTGCACAGAATGAAGGTAGCCACTTATAAAAAGAGCCATCACTGAAACTGAATTTCGTGGTACCTTGATATTGGGCTTCCCAGCCACCAGCACAGGGAGAAATAAGCTATCATTTTATAAGCCACTCCATTTTTATATTTTGTTATGGTAGCCCAGGCAGAGCAGTATATTTTTCTTTGATACTAGTGTATCCCTTTAGTATTAGAATCCCTTGTTACATTTCATAATTCTCTATAATTTGATCATTTATGATAGAAATTTTGTGCAAATTACAGTGCAGTTTCTTTCACTGATTAGACCCATGCTGATAACTTCAGAAATGAATATGTCATAGTTAAGCCATATGGAAAAAATACAATTCAGTTAAGCTCTGGTAGCAGTTTCACAGCCAGAGACAGGGGTAAGTAGTTACTGCTCTGACTTCTGTGAATAATGAGGAAAGTATAAAGAAGAAGCTGTGGCAAAAATTCAAGAAGCTAAGGGTTAAGGTTTTGCTTTATGTATTTCCCAAAGGGACCACTTCCCAAAGAAAATTTTAGGACCATTGTTCTTCAGACAAATTGTTATTGTGTAGCAATAATGACTTGGAATGTGCTATATGTCTAAGCTGCTATCTACTTGTGTCAACTGCTGAATCCTAGGATAACAGGCATATTCCCAGATATCTGTTGACAGCATCTTTTAATATCCCTTCCCTGATACACATACAAAATAACAGATTCCAACAGAGCTAATACACTATCCATATACATGAAACATCAGTAACTTCTGGGAAGAAATATGACAAATTATCAATTTCATTAAGGTCTACTCAAAATATTTGAACAAATATTTAAATAAATAACAAAATTGTTTTCTCTTTCAATATTTCTAATATTTTACACTATTTTTAGAAATTCTTCCTTTCTTATCCCATGTATCCACTTTTCCCATTAATTAGAAGAAAATAAATTAGGGGCATGATGATATTTCAGTCCAAAATACAGCAGTATCTCCTTAAAAGACATTTTGATTATGCAACAAAGTATTTTTTTAGCATTGAGCAGTAAAGACATTTCAAATCTTACAAGGATATGTGATCACATAAAATTTTACTCTTATTGACTAAAATTACTATTGATTCATTCAGTTCCTTCAGGCTTTCCTTATTTCAGTGCATAAGTTCTGTTTACTTGGAAAAATCACTGAAAAAAAAAGCATATTTCTAAATACTTCTGATTATGTTACCAGGTAAATTTAATTTTTTTAAATAAATAAAAATACAAAACAAAAAATATATTATCAAGTTGTTGTGGAGAACAGTATGCAATCTGTCTTTCTTTCTTCCAGAATAAAATATCCTTCTATAAAGCCTTGCTTAACCTTCTGTGGGAAGATTCCATGAGAACAGCCTCTTTCCATATTCCTCGGCAGTACATATTTCTTTACAATCAATGGAAGTTTTTGAAGCTAGAAAACTATGTTAAAAAAATAAAAGAAGGAAACAGTATCCTTATTTCTTTCTTCTGAGACCCTTAAATTTGAGGGAACTTAGATGAAGACAGTGATGGAATTGGGACTCAGAACTAATTGCTTTCCAGAGAGTTCCTACTGAAGTATCATTTCACGAACAAAAGCTATATACACTGGAAAATGTCAATATATTCAAATGAGATTGGAAAAAGTATTTTAATTAAGTCACTATTCCTACATATGTAAGAGCTCAAAATATTTCCATGGTAACAAGCTTAAAGGTTGAATTCTAAAAAAAAATCTAATCATAGAACTCACACATATTGCATCCTAATATGAATATGTAAGTGTCAGGTGTGGTGGAACATGCCTATAATCCACAGACACAAGAGGTGAAGAATAGAGAATCAGGGGATCAAGGACATCCTGCCGTATACAATGAGTTTATGGTCAGCCTGCATTACCTAGCTGGACTACATATATAAAAAAAGAAAAATGAAAAAAAAGAAAAAAACTTTTAGACAGGTGATATAGCTCAGTGGTAAGGTGTGTGATGGGCATGCATATGGAGCTGTGTTTAAACTAAACTCAATGCCAGTGTTGGAAATAAAAAAAAGTAGAGACACGAATGATTTTTGTCAGAATGCTCAAGGTGACTTCTCTTTTACTGAGGTGATGAATCCTGTCTCCAGCTTGTTTATGACTGTTGAATACTCACAACTCAGTTGTTTCCTCTTTGAAATTATGTTTATTTGACAAAAAACACATTTCTGGAAAATTTGTCCTTTTTTACGTATGACCCACTGTCAAAAAACATGGATGTACAAAAGACCTACCTTTTGCCCCAATAGCATAATTGTGTAGTGAAGGCCTTAAGGTATTGCCAATCAAAGAACTAACATGACTCCTGCTCCTTACTCAGCTCCCAACTTCCTTGTCCTGATCTGCTCTTATTCTTGTGGGATTTCCCAGAAGATCATTTCCAATATCAATCACATGCATGCAAAACCCTGTCTTGGGCTAAGTTCTATGAAGGTGGCCTAACACATTATATACTCATGTATTGAGAACCTGTTTCATTTGAGTTCACAGCCTTGTTGATATACATAACTTAATATGCTAACATGGAACTGCAGTAATAAGAAATTCACAAAGATGTTTCTGGCAATATTTCATGAAAAGGAGATGTTGGAGACATATGTGGAAATTAAGCAAGTTGATCACAGTAAGAACAGGCAGACAAATACAGATACAGACATGAAGAAAAAACAAAGTCACACATGTAAGATATTGCATATTTTACAAGAACAAGTAATGAATTTGTGTTATCTCCGAAATTTAAGGCCAAAAAAATAACAATATATAAAGTAAAAGAGGTAAACAAAGGAATGTTTGTTTGCTTTAAGAGATCTTGAAAGTTTAGATTCCTTACAAGAGCAATGGTGTGACTTGAAGCATTTCAGAGAGTGGTAGAAGCAGTTTGTTTCCCCTTAATGTACTATATAGAATTTTGGGTCAAAATATAAATTAGAAGACAGCTTTACCCAGAGAAGTAGTATATTGAAGGTCTGATTTCAACAGACATAGTAGAGATGTAATGTTTGTTAAAGATTTAGGAGATACAAATGGTCAGGAACAGGCAATTGACTCAATATAAACAGCAAGAGAGAGTAGTAAGATAAATTTACTTTGTAACTCATGATTTTGGTTGTTGTTAAAGACTTAACAATTTTCACAATAGGAAGTCAACAGTTCCGTATGTAACAAGTGGCAATGTCTTTGAAATGCTTTTTATAATGTTCTCATTGAAAGATTTTAGACTATGAAAATACAGAGAATTTTAAAAGCCTCAACAGTGTTAAAGTGTTTGCATATATTTTCCATTTTTCTAAATGGCACTAACCAAAAGTAAATGTCTGGCATAATGACATCAATTGATTTTACCCTATGAATGTAAAGAAACCCAAAGCTAAAGACATAATTACAGTAATGAGTATAGTCATGTGTGTAGTATACCACAGACACTGAACAAAAGACTGAGGCTACATTTTAATAGGCACTGACAAATTCACTTTCAAAATATAAACTTCATAATTGAAAGCTGGCATAACTACAGTTGTTGTCATTTTAAAGGGAAAGCAAAAACCACCCCAAGCTAAACTTTACTGAGGTCAGCAAATCACAACAAAAGCTAACCTTTGCATTCTACTTACATTCACAAAATGCATTGTCCCCAACCTTACTTTCTGGATCACATTAATCAGGGGGTGGCTTATTTCCAGATTCTTGCCATTAAAAATATATAGTGCAACAACTTTGGAAGAGTGCCTTCAAATATTTTGGAGCGATCTGTGTGGGAGTTAAGAATTGATGTTTCTCGGGGGCTCTGTCAATTATTAGGAATCCAGTTTCTAGAAACCCCTTGTCTGATAAGGACTGAAAATTATCATCTATCAACTTCTCAAAGTAGGTCATCTCTAGGTGGGTGTGGATCTTGTTTACCTATAATGACATTCCTTCTATGATAGGGTTCCCTGTTGATCAGGGAAAATCTGATCAAATACAAAAAGTATTGCTTTGCATGTTGTGTACTTTGTAACAGTTTCCTTCAAACAAGCATTTCATTCATCTTAACAAGAT